TCTAATATGAGTAGTGCTGGCTTGACTTTGTTGCTCACTACAGAGCTATTTTCTCCCTTTGCAGAATAATAATATAACAATAATAACAATAATAACAACAACTACTATAGCCTGCTTAACGTCCCGTCCCTGAAATGACAGGGAAGGGGTGTTAGTATTCCTGAGCTGGGGCGCACCAACACCTTCCAGACCAGCAGAGCCTCCTGTGACCCCTCAGGGACCCTTGCTTGGGCCGTGGGCCAGCGCGTGGTGGTGTCCTGACACGACGTCTGGCGACTGCATCATTCATGACTTTATCAAATCTGTTTCCCTCTTGGGCGAACTGGTTACACGGCTACTACTCGTGAAAACTTGGACATTTTGATTTTCCCAAAATTAGCCCTCAGCTACCAGGACTGTCTCCTAGTTCTGACGTGAAAAGGTCGGGCGAGTAAACCTACATTTGTGTTGTCAGAACCCTTCTTGATTTCATACACCACCATGCCTACTTTTGGCCTGTGTCTTCACCCTGAGGAGGGCTGGTGGGTTTTTTTTTTGATGCCTTCATGAAAACAAACTGGTGCCTTTGATCATTATTCTCATGTGAATTGCCTCCAGGCCCAGGATGAATTCTTTGGTGTATGGTGACCCTAAATGTGTGAATTAGGAGAAAACTTCTGGACTATATTGTCCTTTATTTGGCTTTCTTCTGTCTCTATATTTCACTATTTTAATTTTTATTATAGATCTCTTTTTCCTGCTAGGAATATGTAAATTATATATTGGATTGCAGTCTCCGTCTTTAAAAAGGTTACATATTTTAGGGGAGCCTGGGTGGCTCAGTCCGTAAAGCATCTTCCTTCAGCTTGGGTCATGATCCCGGCGTCCTGGGATAGAGCCCTGCATCGGGCTCTCTGCTCAGGGGAGAGCCTGCTTCTCCGTCTCCCCCTGGTGCTCACCCCCCCCCAACTCGTGCTCCTTCTATTTGTTTATAAATAAATTTTAAATAAATAAATAAATCTTTTAAGTTACATATCATAAATTACATACATATTTACAGCGTTTTTCTTAAGTGGAATGTGGTATAGCAATACCTTCTTCGGTTTTTATAACCTCCCCCACCCTGTACTGTTAGCAACAATTATTTTCTACTATTTGTTAACAAAAACCTATCTTAGTTGGGCTAATAGGCCTTCCTAAAAACAATAAAAATAGAAGATTCTTGTAGTGTTCTATTGAAGAAATGTATAATTATGCATTTTAGCCAAGAATTACATCGGTAATTTTCAGATTATGTTCTAGGGAAAACCAGGTTTAGAATCAACTTTGATTTAGGTTTACTTACGTCAAGCGTTTGAGGGGATTTCTCATGTAGTTCATTGGTTTGTGTCTTTGATCTTAATAAACTTTCTAAAGTATCAACGTTATATTCAGGGCAAAACTTGTCCATTGAAAGGCAACAAATCATCATCTTTTACATTAAACTACTTTTAAAAATAAGCTTTTTTTTTTTTTTTGTTGCATTTGTGGGATTTGAAGATAAAGCATAGTCATTAAGAGGAACACTCACAGGCACCGGTTTCTGTCTTAAAGAAGCAATTACATCATTTTTAGTGTTGAAATTAATTTAACTGACCATATTAGCAGGCATTAAGAATTATTATCTAAATGGCATGTTTTCTGTTAACTCAGTTGACATATGTGCAGAAAGATGTACAAATGATAGATGCAGGCACTTATTTTCTGAACATATCTTCTAACCAGAACGTGACCTGGGGATGATGGCCTGGTGGTCCCTCCTTCTCTGCCTGTGGAACCATTACTTGAGTCTGTCCTGAGATATCAGGTCTTCTCTATCGCTTTTCATGAGATTTTGTTCTTGTCTGTGTTCTGGTACTACTCTGTGGATGAGACTGTTTGAGTACATATGTTTTATTATAGTTACTTGCTCCTCAGACTGCCTTTGGGTGTCCTTCACTGAATTTCTATTATATGTAAATGCGTACAGTTTTCTATAAGGAAACAATATGTAATCCTCCGGGAAGGCTGTACTAGTTGGTCCAGTTACCTATTTGATTGTACTTGCTGGTTATATTTGCCACCTGGAATTCATGGCACCGGCTCTGCTTCTGCAAAACAAGGGTCTGGACTAGGGATTCCTGAGCTCTCCTGAATCTCCACAATTTTGCCATTGTATGATTCTAAGCCATCACTAGAAATGTATTATGAAATAGTTAATGTTTAAGGGTTACTTAGAGAATTTTTAATTTTTAATGAAGTAGATACTCATGGTTAGTGTTAGTGTTAATTGATAGATGTGTTATTAACCTTTTTTTCCTTTTCTTTTTTTTTTGCACCAACAACACATTGAAAGAACATACTTTGAAGGATAAATTGCAATCTGGTGAAATATTTTAATGGTTTAAGAAAATACAGCTTTTAAAAACAAACATCAGGAATGGTGACTATAGAAACCAAGAACCTTGCATATAAATAGTTATAAGAAAAAGGAGAGCAACAGCAATGTATAGTTTTCATAATTAAAAAAATATTTTTAAAGTATTTTATTTATTCATGAGAGAGACACACAGAGAGAGGCAGAGACACAGGCAGAGGGAGAAGCAGGCTCCATGCAGGGAGCCTGACGTGGGACTCGATCCTGGGACCCCAGGGTCACGCCCTGAGCCAAAGGCAGACACTCAACCATGGAACCACCCAGGTGCCCCAAATATTTAAAATATGATAGGAAGTTCTTATTCCTTTAGGTTCTTTGTAAAGGAGGCAAGACAAGTACTTTAAGACCTAGAGACATTAAGGGATCATTCATACCTTAAGTAAAAATGTACTGAAAAGTCTTTACACATGGGTGTAATGATTGAAGGTACAATGATGAATAATTTAACCTACTTAACTTCAATAGTAGGAGAGACAAATTCATAAACAAGTATATTCGTTTATAATATTATTAATTATTATAGAAGCATGGAACATGGTGCACATAACTCTGGAGTGGTGTTTAGTGAGGTTCCATAGAAGAGATGGTTTTTAGAGCATTTTCATTAAATAATGAGTGGAGACACTTGTCAGAAGAGGAGGAGTAGGGTGAGGAGAAGGGTCTTGCAGGAAAAGAGAAGGAAAATATGTAGAGATCAGAGTTAAGAAAGGGCCTGGGTATTGGAAGAACAGTGTTAAATTCAACGCAGCTAAAGCATTACTGTCCAATATAAATATAAATATGTAAGTCAAAAATTTCAAATTTCACATTAAAATATAAAATAGGTGAATGATAATATATTTTCTCTAATACATCTGAAACATTTGTTTTTTTCATACTTACGTATGAAGTATTTGATTTTAAAGATTAAATCGGTTGTGTATTTTACACTTAGAAAACATCTCAATTTGGGCCAGCCTTGGTATCTAGAAGGTTCCCTAAGGGATGGGTGTGTATGTGTTTGAGAGAGAGAGGAAGAAAGAATGAGAAAAAGAATGAAAACTTTTGTGGGGCGCCTGGGTGGCTCAGTGGGTTAAGCATCCGACTCTTGGTTTCAGCTCAGGTCATGGTCTCGGGGAGCTGAGATCAAGCCTGGTGTTGGGCTCTGCACTGAGCGTGGAGCCTGCTTAAGGTTCCTTTTCTGCTTCTCCCCTAGCTCATGTCCTCGCTTGCTCTCTCTCTCTCTCAAAACAAAAAACAAACAAACAAACAAAAAAACCACCAACAACAACGACAAACACCTTAAAAAAAAGAATGAAATTATTTGTGTGGTCTAGAGGGGATGTGGGGATTGTGATTGTAATTGTTGCTGGAGCCATATTTTGAAAGGGCTTGTATACTCGCTGACTTTGGAATTTATCCCTTTAATATAGTAGTTTATGACTGTGATTCTCAAATTTTCTTTGGGGAAAGGCCAGTTTTTAAGATTTCAGATTTGTTGCAGACTGATTCTTTTGCAAAGTACTGAGCAGTGTGAATTAGAACAATGGAATAAAAGAGACATACAAAGAGAGGCACCATTTATCAATCATCAAATTTGACAAATGTACGATTATCTAGTCAATTGTATGTAAAGATGTCTGAATTAATTCCATCCAATAGAACTTTTTATGATGATGGAAGTGTTATGTCTGTGTTGCCTGAAATGGTAGCCACTAGCCACATGTGGCTAGTGAGCATTTGAAATGTGGCTAAAATGTGGCTAGTATGACTGAAAAGCTAAACATTTTATTTCATTTAAATCAATTTAAATTGAAATAACTGTCTATGGCAAGTCATGTAATCTCTTGCTACTCCAGGATCCTCATTTATAAAATGAAAGTAAGGGATGCCTGGGTGGCTCAGTTGTTGAGCCTTTGGCTCAGGGTGTGAACACGGGGTCCTGGGATCGAGTCCCATGTCGGGCTCCCTGCATGGAGCCTGCTTCTCCCTTGGCCTAGGTCTCTGTCTCTCTCTCTCTGTGTGTCTCTCAGAAATAAATAGATCTTAAAAAAACTTGAAAGTAATATTAAGAAACTATCTCATTGGGTTGTTGTGAGGATTAAATATGTGGCAGGTGGGATTAGGGCGAGCACCAAGAAAGACGGTATCTGCAGAGGCCTCAATGCACAAGTTCAACAGGCCGAGAGGAAGGAGCCTGTCAGGTATAGGCAACTCTAAAACCCACGTGGATCATATTCTGTTTGGAGGCAGGGGCAGCAGAGTCTGGTTTTGGGCGGTCACTGCCACCACACTGCTAACACCATTTCTTTGTCTCTTTCCTAGTTGTCTTATTTTAACCCTTTAACATATTTTAAACTGGATCCGTAGGTATCCTGTGATTGGGTGGTTTTAATAAATATTGCCTGTGAAGCCATCACGGCCTCTTTCCTTCTTCATTCCTGGGACTTATGGTGCCTGAATTTGATGGTGGAAGTTGGGCAGTGGTTGGGAAGGGAAGGGGCCTCCCGTTTGAGAAGCAGTCCCTGGGGTATGGGCAGATAGCATGAGGTTCTTAACCCCTAAAACATGTTTCTTGCTTGTGTAGACTATTTTAGGAAGAAAACCAACTGGAAGAAATCCATGGAGTTCCTTCTTTTCACGTTTGTCGGTGTGGTTCACCTTCTATCCCTGAGCTCTGGGAAGCCGATATATAAGAATGACATCTCTCGGAGGACTTTTCAAGAAATAAAGGAAGAAATAGCCAGCTACGGAGATGTGGCTAAAGCAATCATCGACCTTGCTGTTTACGGCAAAGCCCAGAACAGGTCCTATGAGCGACTGGCGCTTCTTGTTGATACTGTTGGACCCAGACCAAGTGGCTCCAGGAGCCTGGAGAAAGCCATCCAAATCATGTACCAGAACCTGCGGGAAGACGGGCTGGAGAACGTCCACTTGGAGCCAGTCAAAATACCCCACTGGGAAAGGGGAGAAGAATCTGCTGTGATGCTGGAGCCAAGGATTCACAGGATGGCTATCTTGGGTCTTGGCAGCAGCATTGGGACTCCCCCAGAAGGTATTTTTCGCTTTTTCAAATCAATTTGCTGTGTAAGTCATAAAACTAGTGTCACGGGACATAGAGGATTACAGTATGTGGGATTCACATTATGATTTAGGTGATAAGATAAAATCCCTTCTCATCCCATCGGCTTGCTGAGTGCTCTACCCTCAGATTCGTTTTTCTCCCTTCTTCTCTCCTCCCTTTCTTTCTTCTGATTCTTTCCGAAAGAAAGCTTATTATGTGGGGTCATTTTTTAAATGAAGATCTGCAACGACTGGGCCATGATATTTATCAGCCCTCTCACTTAGCAACTTGTAGCTGGCGTAACACTAGTTTCGTTCTGTAGAGCATTGCGATGAATGTGCATAGGAGAGAAAACCTATAACTTCCTCCAAGCAGCCTCAATGTACAGAAATTTTTAGAACTGATTAAATAGGGAACAGATCTTTACACATGGGGAAGATTTCATTGTTTTTTACAGAACTGGAGACCTCAAACGCAAGGAATTATCCAGGGTGAATTTCTACCTCTACATATCAGCACCCTAGTTCAGCCAGACGGCACCTAGTTCGTCAGACGGTATAAACGAGCAGACCAGGGATATATAACTGGTCCGCCAGCGAGCTGCCCGTCGTGGGCCAGTCATGTACTGTTGTCCCATAGACTGGTCAAGTATTCACGGGCTCTTTTCTATGGCAGGAACTAGTTGACATTCTCGAAAAAAGTTTATAGGAAGTTTTGACCTTCTCTGATGCCAAAAGAAAGACCCAGTATAGGATTAGATGGTCAGTTAAAAATAAAAATGAAAACAAAAACATCTTTTTTTCAGATACAATTAACTTACCATAATATTCACCCATTTCAAATCTACAATTCAGTGATTTTTAGTATATTCACAGAACTGTGTCGCAATTACTATGATCTAATTGTAGAACGTGTTCATCACCCTAAAAAGAAATATACCCACTAGCAATTACTTCGCATGCCTCCCATTCTCCCTCCTAAGTCTAAGGCAACCACTAATTTTCTTCCTATCTTTGTGGGCTTTCCAATTCTGAATATTTCACATGAACAGAATAATATGCCATGTGGCCTTTTGTGATTGGCTTTTCCCATGTAGTATAATGTTTTCCAGGTTTATCCATGTTGTAGCATGAATCAATACTTAATTCATTTTTATTGTTGAATAATATTCCATTTTACGAATGTACCGCATTTTATCTATCATCTATCTATCTATCTATCTATCTATCTATCTATCTATCAATCACTCATCGGTTGATGGATATTTGTTTTTTTTTCCTTATCTTTTGCTATTATGAATGATGCTGCTAAAAACTTTCATGCATAAGTTTTTGTATGGATATATGTTTTCATTTCTCTTGGGTATCTACCAAGAAGTAGAATTGCTGAGTCACATAGTAACTATATGATGGACTTTTTCAGGAACTGCTACTCTTTTCCAGAGCGATGTATAGTGATACATTACGTTTGTACTAATGTTATTCCAGTTTTTACACATACTTAACACTTGTCCGTCCTTTTGGTTATGGCTATCCTAGTGGTCATAAGAGGTATCTCATTGTGGTTATGATTCCCATTTACTTAATGATTAACGATGTTGAGCACCTTCCCATGTTCTTATTGGTCAGTTGCGTATCTTCTTTGGAGAAATATTCAAATCTTTTGCCCAATTTTAAATTATGCTATTTTTATTGAGTTGTAAAAAGGTCTTCATATATTTTGGATACAAGTCCCTTATCAGATGAATGATTTACTAATGTTCTCTACCATTCTGTGGATTCCCCTTTTCACTTTCTTGATGGTAATATTGCTGCAGAAAATGTTTTGCTTTTGATTTAGTACAACTTACCTAAGTTATTTTTGTTGTTGTTGCTTGTGCTTTTGGTGTTATATCTAAGAAACCTTTGCCTAAACCAAGGTCACAAAGATTCTTCCTATATTGTCTTCTCAGAGTTTTATAGTTTTAGCTCTTACTGTTAGGTCTGTGAATTAATTTTTATATACGATGTCAGGTAGTAGTCGCCTTTATCCTTTTGCATGTAGTTAGTCGGTTGTCTCAGCATCATTTATTGAAAAGACTCTTCTTTCCTCATTGAATTGGGTGTATTATATTAATTGATTTTCAGATGTTAAACCAACTTTGCATTCCTGGGCTAAACTCCACTTGGTTATAACATGTAATCTTTTCAATGTATTACTGAATTCAGTTTACCTTTATTATGTCGAGTAGTTTTAGATCTATACTCATAAGGGATATTAGTCTGTAGTTTCATTTTGTATGTTTGTGATGTCTTTACATGGTTTGGTGTTAGGATAATTCTAGACTCAAATAATTGGTTGGAAAGTACTGCCTGGTCTTCTATTTGGCAGAGTTTGTGAAAGATTGGTATTAATTCTTTAAATTTTTGGTAGAATTCACAAGCCATCTGGTCCTGGGATTTTCTTTCTGGGAAGATTGTCAACTATTAATTTAATATCTTTCCCTGTTATAGATCTATTCATATTTTCTGTTCTCAAGTCAGTTTTAGTAGTTTGGATCTTTCTAGGAATTTATTCATTTTGCCTAAATTATGTAATTTGTTGGCATATGGTTATTTACAGTATTTCCTTATAAGTATTTTTTTGTGAGGATAAGGATCCAAATTACTGTTTGGTGTCACTTGCTTTCAACCTAAAGAATTCTCTGGAGTTTTATTTTTTTTTTTTTCAAAGCAGGTCTGTTAGAAAATTCTCCAGCCTTTTATCCATTCTTATCTATTTATTTAATCTTCATTGCTGAAACATAGTTCTACTGGATATAAGATTCTTGGTTAATAGTTTTTTACTTTCAGTGCTTTGAATTTGTCATCCATTGTCCTTTGGTCTCTGCTGTTTCTGATGAGAAGTTGTTTGTTAATGTTATTGGGATTCCCTTATATGTGACGAGTCATTTTGCAGTTACTGATTTTCTTTTTATTTGTTGTTTTCATCATTTTGATTCTAATGTATCTAGGTGTGGTTCTCTTTGCTTTTTTCTTACCTGGAGGTTGTTGAGATTCATGGGTGTGTCAGTGCTTTTCATCAATTTGGGAAGTTTTTGGCTATTATTTCTATAAATATTTTTCTATCCTTTTTTGCTTTGTTGGGCCTTCCACTATGAATATGTGGGTGCACTTAATGGTGTCTTAATTATTCTGAAGTTCTCACTTTTCTCCCTTTTTTTCTCTCTATTCTTTAGGTTATATATCCTGTATCAATCTATCAAGTTTACTGATTTTTTTTTTTGCTAGCTTACATATACTAAGTATATGTATATATAGTATATATTATGTACCAATAGTATATACTAATAGTATAGTATATACTATATATACATATACTGATACATATAATGTTGAGCCCCTTTACTGAATTTTTCTTTTCAGTTGTTATAATTTTCAGCTCCAGAATTTTTTTCTGCAATTTTTATTTCTTTACTGATATTCATTATTTGCTGAGACATTGTCATCATACTTCCCTTTAGTTCTTTAAGTATGGTTTCCTTTAGTTGAACATACTTATAAAAGTTGCTTTGAAGTCTTTTTATCATATATCCTACAACTGGGCCCCCTCAAAGGCAGTTTCTAGTGCCTGCTTTTTATCCTATGTATTGATCACACTTTCCTATTTCTTTTCATGTCTCATAATTTTTGTTGTTGTTGAAACCTGAATATCTAAAATAATGTATCCCAGCAGCTCTCAATACTGATTCTCCCTTTCCTACTCCTGCCCAGTGGAGGTTGATGTTGTTTTTGTCATTTGCTTTGCCCTGTATTTGTTTAATCATTTGGTTGGACTGTGTGAAGTCTGTTTCTCTCCCAGTGTGCAGATTCTGATGTCTCTGTTTAGAGTGCTCCCCCCCCCCTCATTTTTTCTTTTTGTCTGGCTCCCTAGAACTCAGTCCAGATCCCCAGAAACTACTTACTGGTCAAAGGTTGTGCACAGGTCTCATTAGTCGATTATATTTTTACCTTCTAGTGTTAGAGGAACGCATGGCTTGGGGCTATTTATTAAAACTTGAGGAGTTTATGTTTTTGCCCCAAGTTCAGCTACAGCCTAGTAGCTTGGAAGTTCTCTACCATCAGCCTTGAGAGGGTACAGCCTTGGGCATGCACAGACTCTTCCAGCTTGCTAGGATCCATGTGATTTTATTATTGTCTTGCTTAACAATATTTTCCTCTGTATCAGAACAGTTTATTTTTCAGTTCATGTTTTGTCAGAGTTTGTGCGTAAGCCTCTTATGCCAGTGAAGTTTCTGTCCTTTGTTGATGGATCTGTGTACAGTTTGGGAAAGATTTTCCATCTGACCCATGTCCTGTTTTAATTGTTCTTGAATAGGAACATGTGCATAGCTTTTCCAATCACCAGGGTTTACTGTGATCCCGAGGGGGCTTTTCTTGGTTGTTTTCTTTTCCTGGTTCTTTCTGTTAAACTTTGGATTGCAGTGCCATTTTGCTTGGAACGAGCAGTATCATGAAGCTCCTAGCACTCCTTTCATTGTTTTCTACCAAGCTCTCCATTGTTTTCAACAACAGCCTCAGGCATGGAATGCTCTGTGTTCTGCTCCAAATACAGTCCCTGTCCTGGGTAAAAACTGCAAAGCTCTTCCTTTTCTTTGCTTGCCTCTTTTCTGGGAGAACCTCTCTGCTACTTCCCAGGAGCTAGGCACAGTGATGATGGGTCTTTTTCTCCCAGGGTGATTTCCTTTGAAGGTGCTAGAAGGGGAGGGTGGTAGCTCCTGGTCTTCTCAACTTGCCTCTCCCACCATGGGACCTCTGCCTACGAGTGAGCTGAGGCAGACAGATGATCTGGGCCCAAGTCCTCTTGGTGGCTATACTTAGGGTAGGATTTCTACCATCTGAGTTGGGGCTAGGTAGAGGAATAGGGCCTCAGCCCTTTTGGAGTGGAGCGCCCGTAATAGTGTTGTGTAACATGGAGCTGGGGATGGGAGAAAGAACCAGCTCATGGCCCAC